CATTGTTTTTTTATAAAAAAAATTAAACAATCAGATAGTCTCATGTACAGTAATCTACGGTCAGCAAATAACAAAAAACTGTAGAGAGATAGCAGCATATATGGTTGTCAGTAGAAGGCCATCATGTCTTCCCAGAGGTAAGATATCTGCAGTTTTGATAAAAAAATAATTTTAACTGCCAATGAGTCTCAATAAAAAATATTTAATGTATTTAAAGAGGGAAATATGTCTCAGAAATAAACACATCAAGGCAATTTTTTTAGATCATTACCCTACTTTGGATTTAAAATGCCAAACATGAAACTAATCAACATATGCTTTGGTGCTGTATATGACAGCCTGAACAAGAAGATAATGAACATAATTTAACTCCACAGGTATACAATTCAGTATAACTGTGTGCTGTCTGTAAATGCATTCCTCAACATTATGTGCAGCTGGTATGCAGTGGATTCATCCCTACATAAATCATATCATTTATGGAGCTGTTTCCAATCAGTGCCATGTTCTACGTCCATCACATTAGCTTTGCTGTATTGTGTGCTTTTATGGTTTGTGTCTGTGAACACAGCCCAGGATAATAGCCGTGTGCATCTCTCTCCCATTACATCACAACCAGAAAAGACTTCAGGCTTAGGATATTCAGTTCCTGGCAAATGTACATCCAAATGGTTCAGTAAGAAATACAACCGTTTCCTGTCAGTTGAATACCCTGGGCGTTATGCTGCTCTGCTCCGTATGCACATCTTCTCCTCATTACATGTAACTTCCTTTCCCATTACTAAAATAATCATTACACTCTCATTGGCACTGGCTCAACCACTGGCGTAGGCTAAAAACTATTCTCTGTTTTATGATCTAAATGGAATTTGTATCTTATGTGTATACTTTTGAACTTAATAGTTAACATTTGCCTTGGTCACCTGTGAATACGGCGAACATCTATTCTTTTTTCTGTTTGCTTACATTCTCGTGCATTTGTATACATTGCTACATCCTTTATTATGAGCTTAATGGAAGCCCTACATTTTATGTACAGCTTGATCTGCATTGTTTAACCCACTTGAAAGCATGATGTTTAATAGTACCAATCAAGCAGTAGGAAATAGTTAATCAGCACTGGACAGAAACAAGGGGATTGCACAGGAACAGAATTAAACTGTTTGTGTTTTAAAATGGCTTCAAAAAGCCTTAATTGCGCACAAGTCCCATTCTGTATACTGAACCATTTACTGTCTCATTACTGCCTCTGCTTTCCCTAGAGAAAATTAATCATGTCAGGCACAGTTAAAGGGTATGCAAACATGAACAATGAACTTTGCTTATTTGGTCCCTTTTGGTTTGTTAAATAAACCACTGAAAGTATTTTGTTATATCTGTTCACTAAGTGCAAAAACACACCAGTTGATCGTGTCAGAAATCTTGCTCATAACTTTCTGTGCTTTCTGCCTGAGCTTCATTCCTATCATTTGCAGCTCTCTGTGGACTACGCAACACAAGCCAGATCTAGGGAGTTGCTGGGGTGGGCTGTTACCCCCAAACTGTATCTGCACCCTCCCTAAGACCACTGATGTCCACGAGGGGGGCTAGGGGTACTGTGTAGTTGCGCCGATGCAGAGTCGGCATGGTTGTACATTGTCCTGCCCCAAGTCTGTCGCAATGCATTATTCGTTTCCATGGCGCAGGGAAGGCAACCAGGGCACGTTGCTATGGTGCTGGTGGTCAGCCTGGCTACCCCAAGGAAAGGGATGACACTGATACAGGGAGGGCATTAAGAACATATCCAGAAGTGCTTTGCTACAGCCGTAGTGTAGATATGACTGTGGGACTATTGGTCAATGGGGGAATGAGAGCTCTGATGTGAAGAAGGGCCTTGAGTGTGATGGGGTGTAAAAAGTTGGAATCGGGGTGGTGGGGGGGTGGGGGGTCTGATGTGATGAGGGGATTCTGATTTCATGAGAGATTCTGATGCAAAGGTGGAGACTCTGGTGTGATAGTGTTGCCTTTTAATGTGAAGGGGAAAACTCTAATGTGAAGGGGGGAAGCTGATGTGATGGTGATGGCTTCTGATGTGAAGGGGGGAACTCTATTGTGAAGGGGGAATGCTGATGTGATGGAGGGACTCTGATGTAATGGGGGGAATCCCCTCTGTGGTGCCAAGGTGAGGGTGACATCATCAACCAGCATTTTCTTCAGCCCAATAAATACAGTTCTGGATTGAGGTGACGTGTGATTATGCATATTTTTAAAGGGTTTCATGACTGAAAAAAAGGTTGAAAAACATTGCACCGCCTGATTAGACAGGCTAGATCTATCCCTGACAAAGCACCAATGAAGAAGAGAAGGTGGTGTTCTGTAGTCCTTTCATAGGGTGACAATACTGCTCCTCCATAAAGTACAGTGCGTGTTGTCACCCTGAGAAAAAACGGTTACTGGCAGAATCACTAGCTGGGAAAAAAAACCTGAAAAAAGTCACTATATCTAGGGACTTGTAAACTGTAATTTATGAATTGTTGGGGGATTAGATACACTTTAAGGATCACACACCTATCCAGTGCAAAAATACATTTGCAGAATATTTTTTTTATTTATTCCCACTGATCCAGCGTTTGAGCTGAAGCGTTGGGAAATTGCATTGATTCTGAACACATTTGTGACAGATGTATCATCCTATAGCAGCATACATCAAAGTTAAGCATACACATAGGATGCCCATTGTTCATTATTAGGCCTTTCATCAATCTCAAATAAAAGCTAGACAATGTATGAAATACCTAGGAAGAGTGTGTGAATCCACCCTCTGATAAAAGCTGAATAGGCCTAGCTAACTGTTCTTAGACTAACTTCTTTTCTCATTTAATAGTAAAGAAAAAAACACTGAATTCACTGGCATTCATGGGACATGCAGGCTCATTGTATGTGTTATCTAGTAAATGGTCTAAAGCCATCCTTCAAGCAAAGACTGTCACCTGATCTAGCTAATTTAGATGATTATCTCTTGTCTTCTGGGAGCAACACACAATCCCAGCCAACTGATCACTGAGGGTAAGATCAGTTGGACAAGTCTAAAGCAGGCATACATGGATTGAAATTCAGCCAGTTCAGCAGGGATCGGTAACATTTTGATCCATGTATGGACAGGTAGGTTGTACAGAAGTCAATCTACAGATCAACTTCTGTGCAATTGCTCTCTTGGATTTTGCCCACTCAATCAGCGTTGTAGGCTATAGCATGCAATCAACTGATCATGTATTCTGATGGCGGGGAAGTCTCTCCACTCTCAGAATACAATAGCTCAGCAGGGAGGATTATTTTATCCACCTCAAATGTGTGGAATGGGGGAATCGGGAAATATTTTTCGTTCGTGGTTGAACGAAAAAACATATCTAGGGCTGCCTTAAAATCTTGCGCAATCCTACTGTTCACTAGAAGGTGTCTGGACACTCACTCCTACTGCATGGGATAAAATTACACAACTAGGAAAATTGAACATGCATATTTGAGTCTGAAATTGTGAAAGAAAGCCACTCCCAGTTATGGAATCCTGCCTACAAATCTGACTGTCATCTGATGTCTATTGTCACCTTTATGGAGACTGGAAAAAAAAATAACACCCCCAGTTTTAAGATCTTGCTCACACATCTGACTGGTCACCGATTATGAAGACTGGATTACTAGCCAACATGATAAAATCACAACATGCTTCCTCTGGCTTCGAGGTATGGTAATTTTTAGACCTAGTCAGGGGCATGATATAAATAGGTGATATTTCCCACAAAAAAGTGGGAGAATTTATATAAAAAAAAAAAAAAAAAAAAAAAAAAAAAAGAAGAAGAGGCTGGGATCCATTATTGGATTACGCAACTTCTTGGCATGTTTCAGCAGTGTAGCATTATTCCGGATTTCACCTTCTGTCTAATGATGCTAAAATGAATGCTAAAGTTTATTTGCAGAAAAAAATGTAAAACGCGGAACACGTTCCAACACAGGTCATTTTTTTTATGTTACTATATTTTAGATTTTATTGTATTTTTTTTTTTTACTATCCCCAGACATAAGATACATAGCGATGGAAATTTCACAATGGATATTAAAAAAGGCATAATGGCAGTATCTAAAGTGCCCTAACCTACAGCAGTTTACCAGTTTACTGTCATCAGATTACTTATTACAGTGAGTTAGTACTGTTCGCTTACTATCCTTGTTTTCTGCTCTATACATATATTAGTGGTCAACCTGAGATTACATTTAAAGCATACATGAAAAAGTCAAGGGTTGCTGCACATCTATATTATGATATACCCTTCCTGCAGTAGCCTTCTGCCATATAAAGCTGTAAGAGCTCCTCCTAAAACTAGAAAATAATTAAATCAGTTGAGGACCTGAACTAGATTACAGTGGGACGAAAAGTACTTCTCTAACTGCAGATGTCAAATAGGAACAAGACCTAGCAGAAGCTGTGATGGGGTCAAGTTGATGCATCCTGTTCTAGAGTGCCAACTAGGCAATACCTTCTACAGACAGAGTACAGTGACACCACTGTCTGCCCCTGCTTTTAGTATCCGAAACATGTACACAGTCTGCACATACTTCTACTGTGTGTAGAACAGTAGGATCCTTTGTATACAACAAGGAATTGTTCCAGTAGGACAAGCTTCCCTTTCTAGTTTTGTTTTTTTGGATATGCCCCAATATGTGCTATATGTATATACATATAGTGCATTCAGAAAATATTCAGAAGCCATTCATTTTTTTCAATTTTAGTATGCTGCAGCCTCAAACGAAGTTGTTTCAATTCACATTTCGCATAAATCTACACTTAGTACCTCATAATGAGAAAGTGAAAACAAAATTTTAGAAATGTCCGTGAACTTATTAAAAAGAAAAACTGAAATATCACATTGGCATAAGTATTCCAATACTTTCACTGTGTTTTTTTTTATTGTGACAGTCACATAAATTATATCTGATTGTAGATACCATGGTATTATTTATCTTACCTCCTCAGGTCGACTCAAAACATGGCCCTCTGGTCCTGTAATACCCATTTCCAACATTCTTTGCTGCTCCTGAAAATAGAATTATTTACAGTTTAAATAAAAATGCAATTTGGAGAGGAAATGTGTGAAATAAACATTTAACTAGAATAAAAACATGCCAACACTGAAAAACAAATTTAGAATAGAAAAAGCAAGTTGATCTGACAAGATTTGAGATGTGATCTGATTGATGTGTGATTTGATCAAAATGATTGAATCCACAAACAATTGATTAGTCATAACTTCCCTTCCAATTTTAGATTCAATTTTGATCAAGCGGAATTAAGTGGCCAGTGTGGAGTATTTTAAATTGTTCTGTATCAATCAGCAGTACTGAAATATTTTGTTTGTAAATATGGTCATAATTTGATTGATCAGGTTGTAAGATTACACAGTGGAAACGGGAATGTGATCAATATATTGCGTTCGTAAGTTACGATTGATTTTACTTATCAATCGAAATCAACTTCCATGTGTGTGGCATAGCAATCTAATAGGTTGTCAATTATTGATCAATTATTCCTATTGGAAAAGATCAATCAGAAAAGAAATAGAACATTTATCAAAGCGTGTATGGTCACGCTGCACTTCACTTTTATTATAAATTTTTTAAATACGATTAACAAAAACAAGTACCCTACTAGATGGGGATTCCAGCAGATCTCAGATGATTGCAGAAAATCTCCTGCTCTAGGTCAAATCTTAAGCAAGACATTATATTTTATACAGTTTTCTTTCCTTCCACCACAATCACTCTATTCCTCCATCAACACAGTCAGTGTTGTTGGGGGAATCCCTCCCACAGTGCTATTGTGTTCTGCCGGGAGGAAGCCATCCCTGCCACCACAACATAATAATCACTGCTGTCGACTATAGTCATTGGCAATGATTGCATGAAAAAAAAAAATCCAACAGGCTGGTTGTGCTGAAGTTGATTGATGAATCAAGTTCAGCACGACCAGCCTACCCATAGATGGATTGAATCAGCAGGGATCTATCTATGGCTGGCTTTACACTTTGCGGATCACGTAATTCATCTGTATTCATCTTCACTTTCATACAGAGGACATTATCTACTGGAAGGTTTTACCCCCTTCGTGACCAGGCCATTTTTTGCTACTTTAATTGGCATTTGCGCAGTCATGCAACGATGTACCCAAATAAAATGTATATAATTCTTTTCATATAGAGCTTTCTTTGGTGGTATTTGATCACCACTGGGTTTTTAATTTTTTATTGATTTGGAAAAAAAAAACTATATTTTTTACTTTCTGCTATAAAACATATCCAATAAAAAAATTAAAAAAATCTAATTACTTTACAAATTTAGGCCAAAATGTATTCTGCTAAATGTTTTTGATAAAAAAAAAAATTTTTTTTTTACTGTATATTACTTGGTTTGTGTGAAAGTTATAGCATCTGCAAAAACTATGGTATGTATACAGGATTAAAACTTTTTTTTTTTTAATACTGGTATTGGTGGTGATCAGCAACTTATAGTGGGACTGTAATAGTGTGGAAGGCAATCTGACACTGATGCTAACAGGGAGGTGCACTGACATCACCAGTGACACTAATACAGTGATCAGTGATAATACTATACACTGTCACTGCACTAATGACACTGGCTGGGCAGGGGTTAAAGTGTTACTAAACCCACAACAGTAAAATCAGTCTGTATATGCAGTAAAGAATGCTTGTTTTACACACTGTGGAACCTAAGCGGTTAATCCTCTGCATTGTGTAAAGTGCGTTTGTTCCTGATTATTCTGTTCCTCCCCTTGTTTAAGTAACTAACTAGATAAGATGGACTGAATGGTAGGCATTTTGCACATGCTCAGTTTGGTGTGAGAGAGGTTTTTTTTTTTTCTTGGGAGAGTGCATGTGATCAGCACAGGGCCAATCACCAAACAGAGGTCAGGGGTTCTGCATCTTCCTAGAGCACAAAGAAAACTCCTCCTACCAACTTTAGCTAGTGCTTGGCTGAACACAGATAGAAGTCAGAAGACTGCTGATGAGAAATGGTATTTAGCAGTTTATAATTACTAAAATAATTGCATTTCCATATTCTGTGTACTGTAGGAGACCAGATATAGTGATTGCAGGGTCCGGGGGTTTAGTAACACTTTAACATCTAGGAACTGCACTGTACTAAATATCTGTTTGCTTTGCAAGGAGAAGAAACAAACAGATTGTTCCCTCTGTACAGAGCCCTGTGTATTTGTCAACACAGGCTCTTGGCTGTGATTGGGCACAGCCAATCAGCAGGTCTCAACCATGAATCATTGGCTGATACCTGGTGACAAAATCCCGTTCTGTCCAATCACAGCTGGAGCCAGGCAGGGGCGTGCCCTGAATCCGGTAGCAGGTGTAGACGTACAGGTATGGGATTGTCCCTGTAAGAGCTGCCTGCCCACAGTAAGATTATGGAGGGCATTTGGCAAGCGGTTAAACACCAAGGGGCCCCAATTGTTACACACAAAAAAAACTTTAACCAAGTAGCTAAAATAAAGTCTAACTTTTTTGGGATAGCATGGGACAGGGAAGGGGTGTCAAACTGGCGGCCCTGCAGCTGTTACTAAACTACAAGTCCCATCATGCCTCTAAATTTGGAGTCATGCTGTCAATCTTGTAATGCCTCATGGGACTTGTAGTTTGGCAACAGCTGGAGGACCGCCAGTTTGACACTTGTGGGTTAGACACTCTGACAAGTTGGCATTGCTGCCTGTGTTACCATTTGACTGATTTCCCCTCACTTCCTGTCCAGTGTCCATGGTGTCAGTCAGAACAGAAGGAGAAGAAAAAGGTCCTCTATAGAGACACAAGAATGACCTAAAATCTGACAGAAATTCAAACTCTTCCACATGCTAACTAAAAAAAACTGGACTTGGGTTTTGACACTTTTAATTAAAGAAACAGCAGTGACTTGGTTTTCAGTCAGTAAACGTTTTCCTTTTTTCTGTTTGTTTTCCATAGAATTGTACGCTCAGAGATGGTAATCTCATTGTCCAACAATAATTCCACCCTTCTACAGAAGACACATTGTCCCCTTTCTGGGGCACCGCAGCTTTTTTCCCTCTCTGACTTCATCATCTTCGTTTTGCATTCTTGACCTCTAAATAACATTTTGTATCAATTAAAAAGGAAACATGACAGAGAGCCAACAGATGCAGTTCAGAGGCCTGGAAAAGATTCTGGTTATGTTTCTACTGACACACAGGCAAATCAGCCAGAACATAGGTCATCAGTACAACGGCTGGTTAGGAGACAGAATCAGGGCTCCATAGCACAATTCTGGGACTGTACAGCCTCTCAACACTAGAAAGCCTTGAGAGAAACAAAACTACTTTCTGCAGCATGGAAACCCCCACTATTGTTCTGGTTTTAGAAAAGTAAACAGCAGTCTTAGTCCTGGTTCACATGGAGGGCCAGTTCACACAATAGAAACGCAGTCCAGATGTGTTCCAGATGCGTTTTTACATGTGCGTTTTTTATGCGTTCCAGATGCGTTTTTACATGTGCATTTTTGATGCGTTCCAGATGCGTTTTACATGTGCTTTTTTGATGCGTTCCAGTGTGTTTTTTATGCATTCCAATTAATTTTTTACCCTCTTTTTTTCTTCAGTTTAAGCAGGGACATGTGCATTCTAGTGTATTTTTATGCGTTTTACCGCGTTCCACTACAGTTCTGTGCAGAAAAAATGCAGCATGTGCTACTTTTTTTTCTGCAACTGGAACTGCAAGCACTGATGTGAACTATGACATTGAAAACCATATAACCTACTATCTGTGCATTTTGGGTGCAGAAAAAAAAAACAACTGAAACGCATGTAGTATGAAACTGGCCCTGAATGCGAATTTGAAATCGAATCGATTTTGAAGCTGCGATTTCAGGTGCGACTTCATGCACAGATGTCTACACAAGTTGCTCCTAAAATTATTGAAAATAGTGCAGGACCTATTTAAAAAATTTACGTGGCTCTGATTTGAACAGTTTCATTGCCGACAATAGGGTGTGACTTGTCATGTGATTTCAAATCGCATGACATGTTGCACCGGTGTGTGAACCAGGGCTTAAGCCCCGTATGCACAATCAGAATATTGAATGATCGTTCATTATGGGTTTTTTTTTGCTAGTCTCATATCAAAAGTGAAGAGGTTACTAAAGTTATGGAAATTCTTTAACCTCTTCAATACCGGGCACTTTTACCCCCTTCCTGCCCAGGCCAATTTTCAGCTTCCAGTGTTGTTACACTTTGAATGACAATTGACCGGTCATGCAATGCTGTACCCATAAAATAAGTTAGCATTTTTTTCACCCAAATAGAGCTTTCTTTTGGTGGTATTTAATCACCACTGAGTTTTTTTATTTTTTGCTAAATAAACAAAAAAAAAAAAAACAAAACTTTTGAAAAAAAGCAACATGTTTTTCTTCGTTTCTGTTATAAACTTTTGTAAATAAATAACATTTCTTCATACCTTTAGGTCAAAATGTATTCTGCTACATTTCTTTGGTGAAAATATCCCCAATTAGTGTATAGTATTTAGTCTGTAGAAAAGAAACCATGGTATATATATCTGACAATCGAGCAGTCCTGATGTACTGATGGCCCATCTAATTTCTTGAGGCCCAAAAATGCCAGGATAGTACAAATACCCCCCAAATTACCCTTTTTTGGAAAATAGACAGTCCAAGCTATTTAGTAAGAGGCATGGTGAGTTTTTTGGAGATTGTAATTTTTTCTTAAAATTTTTTGGAAAATGTAGCAATTTAAATAAAAAAAAAAAAAAAAAAAAAAAAAAATCACAATTTTTGTTTTTCTCACATATTGTCACCAGTCCAGTACAGCGTTATTATAGAACTGGTGTGGCAGTGATCAGGGACACTGACTGGTGACAGTCTGTACAAAAAATAAAAATGATAATAATTTAATTATTTTTTTCAAATGTTTCTATTTATTTTCCATTCTTTTTACTATTTTTTTTTCAACACATTGTGACCAAAGCAATACAATGTTACCATAGTAACACTGAACTACTCTGGGCAAGTGATCACGATTTTTTTTTTCTTTTTACATTATGTTTGCTAATACCAATGTATTTCATTGATATTTACAATCATTGTTACTGAATGAAACAGATTCATTCAGTCTTCTGTTGTGATTAGCTGTGATCGGGCAAAGCTCATCACATTATACAGATGGGCTGTGATTGGCCCTGTCTGTACCAGGTGACTGCTTTAACCAATCATATGATGCCCAGTCAGAGGAGGAGGAGTGTCCAGCCCGGCTGTTAATCTGCTATAGGCTGGGCGGGAAGGTGTTAACAATGGAATAAAAATTCTGAAGTATGTCATGTATTTGTATTGTATGTTCGGGTGACTACTGTACTGGTTAAATGAAAATTGTACGATCTGGTATTGTACAAAAAAAATTTTGTGCTTGTCCTATTTTTTTCGGACGATTGCTATGTACGAATGACCAGATTATCGTACGATCGCTTTAAAAGCTGTATTTTTCAGATGATATTCTGATCGAGTATATGGGGCATTACAGTTTTTAGGGTTAAATCCTGTTTGTCCTGGTGACCATTGTCACCAGGAGAGAGAGTGGTGGGAAAACCAAAGTAGCACAGATACCTTAATCCAATCACCAAAGTATGTGTCAATTAATTGTTCAGGAATAGGATGAGACATGTGAACGTGATGGACCCACCCTGTTCTACTTAGATAATCCTATCCTTGGTGTGCACTGTTGTCATATCAACAGGGTACACCTTGCGAAAAAGGACACTCTTTGGTGCACTGTTTGGTCATACAGAACAACTGGTTTGCAAATGGCATGAAAGAGGTTATCGATGTCAAACAGGAGCAACCATTCCCGAACTGGGGTGGGGCCTTCAACGTCATCTGTCTTCCATATTTAATGCTTCTTGAACATAAAGGTATAGGTGAAGGAGTCTTGACCTGTAGAATTTGCCCTTTTTCCTGTGTTAAGAGGTTACTTGTCTCCCGAATCTACAGGTCTTCACATTCTTCATTAATGCCATTTTAACATCTCTACCTTGGTGACTTGACAACAATTCACACCTTTAGCTGTGTAACTTAAAGGATTAACGTGTTCAGACTGCCACCAGAATGGGATTACAGAAATAGAACAGAGTGGTTCTAATTGGACAATCAACATCTGCCTTGACACATTCCATAGGGATTGGATTAAGGTGCCTGCCTACCTGTGTGTGTATAAATGATGGAGTATGTTCCTAACACCCATTAGAACTGAAGAACAGCCTTGGATAAGCTCTGAAATGTTGTACATGTTAAAGGAATATGTCCAGTTGAATACCACTAACTACTACTAGCTATATCTTGACCTGGACAAAAGGGAAACTTTACAGACTCTTTTTTTAAAAAGTGTTTATGTAACCTTTTTTTCTATAGTAAAGCTTACAAAATAGTTGCCATCTACCAACAAATGGTTGCAGTAATGTCAGCTGCGCAGAGCCCATTAAGCAGTTTGCTAAACTGAAGGACAATTTACACCTCAGGGCACAGAGACATACCTCTCTAAACACCAGTATTGACAGTGGGTCAGCTGACCATTAATAGAAGATTGTCTTTCACAAACTTAAAAACATTTAGCTACATGGAACTAGACACAATAGACAAACATTATTTTGGGAGGCTGGTACCATTATTATTATTACACTTAAAAACATTATAGGGGTTGATTTACTAAAGGAGTATATGCGCAAGAAAAATCCTGTTTTCTTATTTTCTTTGCATGGGATTAGGTATTCTGTGCAATGTGATGTTTCAACACATTCATTAATGTAGTACTAAAGTCTAAGTGTTTTTTTTTACTTTACAGTGGTTGTAAAGTAAAAATGTCTATACTTACCTGCTCTGTGCACAGAATTGCACAGAGTGGCCCAATCCTCCTCTTCTCAGATCCCCCTCCAGTGGTCCTGGCTCCTCTCTCTTGCTGGTGCCCCCAATAGGAAGCCGATTCCAATGGGGGCACTCACGTGGGCTCGCTCCTGTGTCCTGCTGCTATGTCCATTGACACAAAAGCTCACTCCTTCTGCTCCCCACCAATGGCTCCTGCTGCTATCGATCTGCCCAGTGAGGAGGGACAAAGCCAGGAGAGCCACAGCTCTCATGCACAGCGCTGGATTGCCATGGGGCTCAAGGAAATATGGGGGGGGGGGGGAATTCTTTTACACTAAAAGTTTTTCACTTTAATGCACAGAATGCCTTAAAGGAAAAAAAAATTTGAGGCTTTAGAACCACTTTAATGCATTCTCAGCATTAAGGTGAATAAAAATGCCCTCTAACTGTCCTCCTCCCCTTCCCTAAACACGTATGCTGGCCATACATGGTTCAGTTTTGAACCAATGCTCCCATCCACACATTCAAGGTGGGTGGGGGAATCCTCCCTGCTGCGTTATGGTATTCTGGCAGTGGGAACACTTCCCCATTGTAAGAATACACAGATCAGCTCTGCAGCCGCTGGCCGTAGTTGCTGATCAAATGGCTTTTATTCAACACAGAAGTCGCTAGTCGTGGCCACACATGGATCAGAATTCGCCCAGTTCCCAATGAACTGGCTGAATTTTGATCCATCTGTGGCCACCTTTACCTTGTCACCCTCCAGTGTTGTCTCTGGCTCCAGAACTGCTCCCCTCCCTTTCTGCATGCACAGGAGAAACTGAGGGTAGCGGAGCCATAGGCACCTGCTCCTGTCAGTCAAACTCCTGTGAGGAGAGAAGCAGGGGCGTGGCTTACTGCTGATGTGTTTGTCTATGCATTCACACAGCTCATCACAGGACCCAAACAAGCACGCTTTGGTGCCACCTTAGCACCTGGCTTTCTATTTATTAAAATGTTGACAAAAAAATACACTTAAAAAAGGTGCACAATCCAGACCCCAACTACTATAAAATAACTTAATATATTTTAAATACAAATTGTTTAACAATACTCATCAAGCACACATATGGACGCAGTCTATAAACAGCAAGACCTCACTTTGTATACAACCACTTGCCCTCATGGCCAGGCCATTTTTTGCTATTTGTCACTGTGCTACTTTAACTGACAATTGCACGGTCATACAACACTGTACATAAATGAAATTTATATACTTTTTCCCACAGAAATTGAGCTATCTTTTGGTGGTATTTGATCACCACAGAGTTTTTATTTTGTATCATATAAATGAAAAAAAGACAGAAAACGTAAAAAAAAAATATATATATATATATATATATATATATATATATATATATATATATATATATTTCTGCTATAAAACAGAATTTAAAAAAATTAACAAATCAATTTTCTTCATACATATATACACTGGAATTTTGTATTTTTTTTCATATATTAGTGATGGCAGTAAACAGCGACTTATAATGGGACTGCGATAGTGCGGTGATATGAATACAGTCATCAGTGATAATACTGTACAGGGTCACTGTACTAACAACACTGCATGGGAAGGGGTTAACATCCGATGATCAATCATTGGCCGGGACTCACTGATTGGCTTTTTCTGTAACAAAACACAGCACAGCCAATGCGGCGGTCACACACTTTACCCGGAAGCGCTGATCATGTACCAGATACATGATGCAGTGCACAGCGGCTGCCCTGCCACAGTAAATATATGCGGGGCAGTCGCTAAGTGGTTAAAATTTATGTCACTTTAAAGTATCACTAAAGGCAAAACTTTTTTTTTAGTTTTGAATAAACTGGAGAGGGATTAGAACGCTTGTCAGTTTTTATTGCTGTCTCTGCCCTTGTTGAGGAGATCCATCCTCTCTATTTGTCTTATTTACCATTATCATGGAAAGTAAAAGAAATCCCAAATTTTGGGTTGTCCCCACAAAAGTAATAGAGGGGAAATTTTCCAATAGGGGCACTAGTTCTGGTGATCTGGGGGTCCCCAAGGAATTTCCTTAATTTGCAGGGATTTCCTCTCACTTCCTGTTTGGCTATGGGACAGGAAGTGAAGGGAAAGCTCCACAATGGGACACAGATGGTGAAAACAAATCTGACAGGGGTTATAACCCTACCTTGCTCTATAAAAAAAAAAAAAAAAAAAAAAGTTTTGCCTATAGTTCTACCCTAAGCTAGGTGAAAATTCCCTTGCAAACTCTTTCAGTAAATCAACTCCACTAACTGTAGAACATCAGTCTCCTTGCTGGTGTATCAAAATCCATCTACAACTGGTATCTTACATGCACACACACACACTTTATAAAAGTAATTTCTATTTTACCTGGGCAATGATATCTCCATTCTCAGCATGAACCTGAGCAATTGCACCCAGTCCTCCCAAGAAAGTGAAGACCTCATAGAGCTAAAAGAAAAACCATTGAATATCAACGTTAGTATATCAGCCTTGAATCTACAGTCTTCATGTTTTGTTAACAAATCCCCGAACCTCTGGTCCTTGTGTGACAGCTACGCTGCTCATGTTTGAATAAATGATATTTCACAGAAACAGCACAAGTCTTATATTATTGGATAAAAACCTGTAAACACATTGTAATTCATCAAAACATGGCCTCTCTTCAAGCAGACACAGACCTGAAAGGCGAAAACAGTTCATTCAATTTGGACTTTTGCCCAGAAACAAAGGAAATATCAGATGATTTACCTCAGTGTTGGACATCTGATACAAATCTTTATAGGCCATGTAAACCATGAAAGAGTTAACACCTGGGAAAAGAAATAAAACGGAAAGTCAGTGAGGGAATTTTCCTCTGTTCAGAAGCAGGGACATGTGATAATTATTACACTCTTGTGGAATGAAAGGATTTGGCCAGAAGAGTTAAACATGGAGGGATGGGTCTTGTTTGGCATCATGACTGAACATTGCTCTCTGTAAAAACACTGCTAAGGAAACGCAGCTGAGGTAGGAGAGATATAACAGATTTAATGTTCTGGTAGAAGAACGCTAATAAATAAACATGGTGCAGAAACGTCCTCTTTAAAAGCCTACTTAAAATAACACATTTATGACAGAACATATAAGTCATTTTCACCTTCCTAGCTACAAGTGCTATATGCTTGGAAACAGAAATGCTGGGCACCATGACAGGGAAAAACACAGGTTCATTCATCCAAAGCAGACTGGTACTGCAGCAAAGCAGTGTGTCCTAATATGAGAAACTTGGAAGTGGCTCCTGGGATAAAAGAGCCAAAGGACTGGGAATAAATATCAGAACATCTGAGTAGTGCAATGTCTGGACCTTTAATCCCCAGCAAATAATCCCAGAAACAGTGCCTGGAAAACCAAGGACATATTTACAGCAGGTACTACTGGTGGACCTTATTTTCTACTTAGAAAAAAAATTCATCATCTTAGATTTACTACTTTCTGTAAACAAAACAACAGCTATAGCATTCTTTGTGAGTGGTATGAGGCCTATCTGAACAGGATGCTCAGTACATATGGAGAAGAAACTATGGCTTCGCATCCTATCCTGCCCATTGTGTGGCTTTACTAACAATCATTGTTTTGTAATCCCTAGAGAAAATTAGGATAACAAATACAGGAATCCATTTAGAAACAAATTAAATGAACCTATCTGGTCACTTTTATCAGTTTGGTATATAAGCACATAGCATGATGTTTGTCAGTCTGGTGAGGTTATTTGTATAATGAAAAATGTAGAGTCAAAGGCTTTATAAAGGTTTTGCTGTGGAGATACTTTTTCAGTAAGGTTTTACTGAATTGGTATTTATTTAATCTCTTCCTGCCTAAGGTTAAAACAAATGTGTATGCCTAAGCACAATTTTGCAACTTTGACATGTGTTAGTAAAACTGTACATTGCATCATCTCCTGATTTTTTTTTATTATCAAAGGAGAATTGGCCCAAAATAGTTTAAAAAACAAAATGTGTTTTTTTTTTTTTTAATGTAGTGGTATATTTCTTGTTAACCATAACCTACCACCAAAGAACAACCCAAAATAAATGTTGCTTGCACCCGTAATACAGCCCAGAAACAACAGCGCATATTTTTTTTTTTATCCTACCTAAAAAACACAAGGACACTATCCTTCCCAAAATATGCAGACCATGATCTGTGACCCTAACACTAACCCTGGCACTGACCTAGATCAAACCTGGATCTGGTTATTTTTTCTTTATTTTTATTTTATTAATTTGTTTTTTTTTTAAACATAGTTGTGTTTTTTCTCTCTGCAGGGAGAAAGAGAAATACAATGCATCTCTCTCCTCCATACATAAAGAGAAAACACAGGGGCAGGCTTCATAGTGACTGATCACTGTGATAGCCAATCAGAGGCTATCACAGCCATAAGGTGACCTGAAACTGAGAGTTCCATGTCCTGATCGTTAGTATGGGACTTGGGGCTCCCAGTGAGACCCCAGTCCCTGTGTGACATGTGGCATACTTCCAGCACATATATGCACCCCCACGGAAAAAAAGCCTAGTCCGGTGGGCTGCATATAGGTATGCTGTCAGCGAAAAGGGGTTAAAGTGAGCATCCAAAAATACTGATTCTTTCTGAATAGTTTTGATATATAAATATCAAATCCACCCAAAATATATAGCAATCTTTTGAAGAACTGCAACATTTTTCAACCTCACCCAAACCAACGAATATAATAAAACGAATCCCGAAAATCAGTTCAGCATAACAAATATGACAAAACAAAATTCTTCAATGAACAAATGCATCCGAAAGACAATGAAACAAAAATTTCCAGCGTGCACATGTCTATCAGAATTTCCTTCTAGTTGGACCTTCCCCAGGGTCGAGGACACCCAACTGCTCCATTGGGACAGAACTGGGCCAATTTCTAAGCACCAGTGCTGTCACATGAAAGAAGGGGAGTGACTTACAAGATCCACATAAAACGGATGCACAGCTTAGTTTTTCTTCGCTACTGGTGGTAAAGTGAGTGGCAGGGGAGTGAAGGAAAGGTATGTATATGCAGGAGGTAGGCCAGACATTAAAGCTAACATGGGCAAAGCACATGATCACCTTAAATAGTCAATGCCCTTCTATCAGAATCCTCAATATTTTTTCACAGTACTGCTAATAAAATCTCAGGTTTCTATTGCTGCTAGTGCCCCACTGGGAAGAATCACCCTCTCTACGTGTCCTATTGACCACTGTCAGTGGGACAGAAAGCTATATTTCATATTTACCATACAAAGAAAAATGAAAATATTTTGTAAAATGTATTTTAGAAATAGTTGGGATATATGGGTGGGAACCATGTAGAGAGATTAGGAAGAAAATATAAGAATTGAGATGCGATGCAGAGGAAAGAGGCTGCCAACCAGGTACAGTGAAGTAGGCCAAAAGTAATCATGTCTTCAATGTAACAGCTGGACTGCAATGTCCCTGAAACCTGTGTGCATTCACATTTAAAATGTCAAGGACTGGAAGAATGGAAAATGTTTGATCGATTAAAACAATAACTGCAGTTGTATTATGCATACATAGTAAAATAACACAGTAGACAAAAAGTCGAATACACAGTACAACACCTTTTTGCTTGACAAGTGTTTCCACTTCTTGCCTGACACTGTCATTCCAATGAGTGATGTCAACATGCAGAGAGTAGTCACAGCAGGCTTTCCCATCAGCCCCCACTCTCTCCACTTCTCAAAGGCTTCAGTCAAGCTGGACTCGGGCTCTGGGACCACGTGGTCAACTACGAATAAAGCACATAATTAAGCTTCGATTGTAGTGTATTAAAACGGATCTACAAAGAAAACAGCTAAGAACATACAGGATTACCGTTTTACCTGCCAAAGAAGTAGTAATTCTGTAAAGCCAATTATATCATTTATACATCTTAGCTTTTACTTTATATGTGTATACATTATTTGATTATACTATTATGAATTATTGCTTTACAGTAATTCTTTACTTTGTTAGTGGTACTGTGCCTAAGAAGATGAGGATAGGAAAGCAAAAGAGAGAAGGACAACCTCTGCAATTCAAATTCGACATCTATGGCTAATGTCCTGTATATTTTATAAATAATTTTAATAAAGCTGGACATCTAGCCATAGACACTACTAAATGCATACAGAGCAGATTTTTATTATCCCTCAGTCATTCTTAGTACTTACTTATCATGGTGGTTCCCCCAGCAAGAGCACCTTTAGTCCCTTGGAAAAAATCGTCCACTGTGGTCATCCCTCTATAGGGCATCTGTAAGTGAGTGTGCGTGTCAATGCCTCCTGGGATCACCATCTTCCCATTAGCTTCAATTGTTTTCACACCACCTGGCACTATCAGGTTGTCTCCAATCTGCCTGGATACACAATTATAAGTGCAGTTAGTGTAGCTGAACAAAAGATGAAGACGAGGTTCATTCTGACATATGATTTAAGCATTGTAACACCATCTTGTTACTCTTATAAGTGTCACTGTCTCCTGTACTTAGTGGATCTGCATATTTTTATTTCCAAGCTGATATTCATTCTATCATGTTACTAAAGGTGGGAATACAGGATTAGAAAATCGACCGATCGGTCATCCGACGACCGAGAGGCGTTCGTTGGTTGAAATCATGGCCCACATTAATCGATCTAAAAAAATCATTCGTCGGGCAATACGTAGTGTTGACATCTTCCATACAAGTGGAAGTGATACAGTATGCATGTGTCCTTGTAGCCACGCCCTTCTGGCCAGAACGAGCGATATACACAACAATTAACAGCAATGAGTATAATATAGTTTATTACGTTCCATATATATATATATATATATATATATATATATATATATATATATATATAAATAGTGATACATAAAAATAGAATATGCATAATTCTGGTTTCATTATCTCATTAGGCCAATCTACTTTTAACATTTGGATTTTTCGTTCTTGTTTACAAAGATTCCTTGGTAATAAACATCCGGGTAATTTTCTGTTTCCATTCATGCGTGGTAGCGATTGATAAATTTTTTTCATACGACAGTCATACCACCGCATTGAAAAAATTTTGTCGTTTCGCATACGAACGACGATTTTCTATGTTCTTCAACCAGATTTTTTCATTCACAATATTGTTATTGGTTAAAACATCCTGCTCATCAACGAAGAGAAAATCGTTCGATCAGTGGTTCCGAGAAATTTTTGGGATAATTTTCTTATCATGTGTATGGGGCATAAGGTAGTTATGCAGGCCATAGATGGGTCATTTATCGGCTGAATTTTCATCCGCACGAAAAATCGGCCGTTAGTAGTGGGGCCAGCCCGTCGGCCGTTTTTCTAGGATCTCCTCGTTTATTTTTATCGGTCATGCTGTAAAATCTGCTAAAAACGTCCGTTTTTCGTGGACATGGGTGGCAGCATTGGCAACGGGGCCGAGAGATTTTTCACTTATCGGCCGAAAATTAGGCCAATAAACGGCCCGTCTATGGCCTGCCTTAATGTCTAGCTTGACTTCATTGTAATTCATCTTACAAAATTGATGCCTGAGACATCTACTGTATGCTGATAAAAAGGATCTACAAAATAGGTTTATGTATTACAGTTATTTATATAGCTGAAAATGTATGCAGCACTTTACAGACCAGTCCCTGTCCTCAAGATCTTACAGATCAAACTCACTATTACACATACAAACAGCGTAACAGGAGCAAATTAGAAATCCACCAAGAAGATGAAAAACATGCAAACTTCATGCAGATAGTGTTCTGGCTAGGATTTTGAACTGACCCTGGTGCTACAAGACATAAGTGCTAACCACTAAGCCACATAAAGGTCTTTTTCGGATTATTTGAAGTTGAAGTCTAGGCAGATATAAATGACACCTTTATTCAGAACAGCTTCTGGTGCCTCAAATGCATGCTAAAACATTTTAAATACATTCTATGAGCTTGACATGCATTTACAATAAATTTCCCTTAACATCAATAGAAAAAAAAAAAAAAACAAATAAAACAGAACAGACTGTCTTGAGTGAAATGTCACACAACACAATGCAATTTAAACAATCACTGGTTCTTTGCTGCCCTGTAAGATTTAACTGGTGTTTCAACCACTGTACTCAAAACATTTTAAAGTCCAGTTAAATTCTGCTTTACTATTACTGTAATACACATAGCTTCTAGAAACTGTAATAGATGTGGGCTTTTTTCTATTTTTGTGTACTATTGTGCAGCTGATAGAGATAAAATGCTCTGTGCTGGCAGCACTTTGAAGATCAAGACTGGGTCCAGTGCTCCAGGTCTGAAACATGGGCCCAGACTCGACATGCCCACTGCACAATGCTTCAGTCTAGATCTGTTATGCTCTGTGTTGGGCAGCAGTCCAGATCTCCTTTTTTTATATTTTTGTATGTAAAAACTCTTTCTTGGAGTCTATTGAGGGACACAGGAATTTAGAAATAGCTGTGTTATAGCACCACCTGCAGAAAACTAGGACATTAGTAAACAGAAAAAGTTTGTAAGCTTGCCCCTCCCATATAACCCCTCCTCTACTCAGCATGCCTCAGTTTTGTGAAAACGTGGTACAGAACAGGGGGCAAGAACAAAACATACAAAGGGGTGGGACCTGTGTCCTCAACGGACTCTGAGAAAAAGATTTTATGGTGTGTATAATAATCTTATTTTCTCTCTTTTCATTGATTTAAACTCCAAACACAAAAAGGTTTCTTTACAGTAAGAGCTGTGAAAGTGTGGAATAGACTTCTTCAGGAGTTGGTTCTGGCCAGCTCAGTGGATTGCTTTAAAAAAAAAGGCCTGGATTTTTTCTTGTATACACAGAATATAATTGGATACTAACATTTATAGAAAAAGTTGATCCAGAGAATATCCGATTGCCTCACGGGGATCAGGAAGGAATTTTTTTCCCTGCAGGAGCAAATTGGATCATGCTTTGCTGGGGGTTTTATTGCCTTCCTCTGAATTAACTGTGGGTATAGGATTAGAATTTTTTTTTTTTTTTTATGGTTGAACTGGACGGATTTTTGTCTTTTTTTCAGCCATACGAACCATGTAATTGATGGACAGAGGAATTCAGAAACAGGTGGGATGTCCAAAAGCAGTGCAACTGAGGTGTGGGCAAAAGCCACTGACCATAAATAGAACTGGGAACTGTCTGCAACTCCGTTCCACCTAAAGGACCAATACTCCCTGCCAGATAAGGGAACTGCCAATAACAAAGGAAAGGCCACAGAGGATCAACCTGATGTTTAAGACCAGGACAGAGGAGATCACTGCCATGAAAAATGGCTCCACTGAAAGGAAACGGAGCCTGAACCAGCAAGAGGCTGTAAAACAAATAATCTATTAAAACAGATGGAATAACATTACTACTTTGTAAGTAAGAAAAAGGCCAACAATATTATGTGGTCAGCAGAAAAAAAAACACTAGGACAAATCACCGGAAGAGCAAGTGCCCAGAGTGAAACAGGTCCGCAAGGAAAGGCCAGGAAGTATTCAAGTGATGGACCGAGCCATACAATTCCAAAAGAAGGAAAGGTCTGTAATAACAATAAGGTTGCCGCAAGTGAGATATCCAAATGTGAGAAACAATCATCACATTATATCCCAAAGTGATAGCTGAGTGTCCCCTGAGGCTGGTAAAGAACTCAAATCGGTATTAAACCCAAAAGCAAAAAATCTATTCAATTGCACCTCACCAATTCATAGATTTGGCTGCATCAATTTTCTTTTATTTTCACTTCGTGATTCAGCCAGCAAGTCTGGTATTTTTAAATTTACTTTAACAGGCCAAGCTATCCAGACAAAGTAGCAGCTAGAGGGCTGAGGCAAAACATTTAAAATTGACATGGGTTCTTACAATGGTCAGCTTTTATCCATTTATGTAAAGCCTTTATCTCCAAAGGAATATAAACTGTTTTCTGTAACTGTCTATTTGCTAGTCAAGTTAATCTAAATCTGCTAATCTAACACAACCCTCTCCCCACACTGGCAACACTGCTGTGAAAATGTGTATGCTTTACTACTTCATCCAGAATGCAGACACCCTAACACAGGAAATGGTTCAGCAGGTGAAAGAAAGGGAAAAAAGCTTAAGAAAAGGAATGCAGCCACCATATTTGAGAATCAGTAAACTGCAATATATATAAGTTTTGGGGTTCAATTCCAATTAAGGATATCAACCCTGAAATCAATGTGACTAAAGAAATTGGGTAGGGTGCACACAAGGTAATCCCACAAATGGTAGGCAGAGATGAAAAAGCATAGCATAACCCCGGTCTACTGCAAAGAAATCCTAGGAGAACAATAGGATGGGCATACAATTTAACATCCAAAGGTGTCTCTGGGGTGTGATATATAAACTCTGCAGGACCTGCCTAACCTGACAATGACAGTTTAAGGGGGTACTGAGCTCTCCAGCAATGACTTCTGCCTGCCATACAGATGTGCAAGCCTATGGTGTGGAGACCAATGGCTGAGGAGAGCCAAATCTTAGTACTTTGATTCCAAGTAAGAACATGCAGTCAGGAGTAGTACTTTTATCATTGTCCAGCACAGGGACCAAGCCACTTGCCCTGTTCCAGGGAGAATTTGCAAAAGGTCCATCTGAGTGATATCCAATGGGAAGTGAAGTCCAACTCATCTCACCATAAGATCCTTTGACAAGCAGGGGCTTGCCTGGGCAACCAGACCAAATCTCTGGTTATGAAGACACCATGGCAAGTCGAGTACCCCCAGAAAAGTAGTTAGAGACCACCCTATTCACCCTTATCTGAAGGGACACACCAGGGACTTCCTAGTCCATAGAGACCATCTGGCTGTCTCGCCCTCTCGCCCTGAGCCCAAATCCCCCATCATTGGCTCCAGCCGCTGTCAGCCAAATCCTGAGAGCAGGGGTGGGGCCGAGTGTTTAAAGAGGAACTATACTCACCTTGAATCCAGAAATACACAATCCCTGGAACTCCCTGCCGGCCGTTGACATCTTTGGGCAACCAGCTTCCAGGTCTCAATCACTGGCGGAGATGACGCCACTCCCACGCATGTGCAGGAGTGCCGTCAGATTCAACATTGACGACTTTGTGCAGTGAGCTGTGGTTGCACAGCTTACTGTACAGGGGCAGACAGGCAGGTAAGAAGCTTTAATGCAGAAATGACAAAGCAAGTCTCTTCTGCATTACAAATCCTGCCTGTCTGCCAATTTTCAAATCACAGCCTAAAGTTCTACTGTAATAACGCTTTAAACTACATTCACATGGACAAATAAAGGCAAATTAATCTTGTCAGTGGTTGTAAAGCAGCTGCAGCTGTCAGATTTGTACTCTGTATCAATGGTTGGCGCCGCCAACGTTCACATATAAGTGCTCAACTGGGTGGTCACATGTGAAGAGAGCTACCAAATCTGGGTTTAAGCTGCACACAAACTGGCTGAAGCTAATCCACCAGTTTGTGTGTGGCTGTAGCACTGAGGTGGAGTTTAGCCACCTGTAAATGCAGCCTATCACCCATGTGATTGTAACGTTAGTGAGACTGCGACACAGATGCTGTCTGACTCGTGCTGTTTGTGCAAATGGCAGTTAGTGCTACCAATGTCTTCTTACAGCTCACTGTCTGAGGTTAGCCATACACAACTAGCCAATGGTCACCAAGACAAATAAAGAGATTAAATCTCACTAGTGGGGACACAGATAGAAAATAAGACTGACAGAGACACCATATGATAGAAGAGAAGCCCGTTTATGCCATTTGCAATCGACTGAGCTGGGCAATCTTGATTTGCAATTTGCCTTGTTTGCAAAAGTCAGTTCACACCACTGCAGTACTTTTTTCAGTATAGTGCATTGCGATGCAAACCACTGCAACACAATGAGGCTGTGGTGAATATAACTGAATGAAATGTTACTTGCAACATTTCAATACAATTCCAACAAAAAAAAAAAAAGAAAAGAACAGTTAAGTGTCATATGTCTAAGTTGGCACATGGGCTCAATTCCACCCAGTGCACACTAACAGCCATTATATTTATTTTATATGTTATTTGAACTAGAAAATGTGAAGTGTTGAACACTGAAGACCTGAAATTGGAAATGTTATTTTTTTTACTATTACAGTCATAAACTTTTGTGTCTTTTTGCAATATTTTGACTTTAGTGCACTTTAAGTTATTCATTGGATTAAATTCTGATTTTAAAGTAAACTGTTCAGACATAATAAATGTAAACATATGAGCTGATTATCTCTACAGAATAAAAAAACAGCAAAGCCATATACAATTACTGTGCTGTATGTATTTATAAACCAGAAACCCACAGTAATCTAAAATATCTTTTTGAAAAAAAAAAACCTAAGCTATCACAACCTCTGGGACTTCTCTGTTGAGGATGTGAAACTCTTTTCCAAACAGCTCAAGCTTTGTAGAAGGTTAGTGATGTACAGCTGCTAGATCCTACTGACCCAACTCACATCCTACAGGTTTGGCTACTAGCAGAGCACTAGAGAACACAGGAACTGAGATTTGAAAATGACCACACCACCCTGTTGATTCCAACTAGTAACAGCAGACTTTCTAATACACAAGGGGAAGTAACGTCATTTTCACGTGCTCTTTCATCATCCAACACTAAACGCAGTTTGAGTGTTATTTAATGCTTTCTCATATGTGATCTCTGCAGAGTGATTCTAACAACACTAAAAAAGCAAAGATACACATTGTTCAAGCAGATTTCAGCAGTTTAGGGGAGTTGGATCAGTGAGGACTTCTGATTGGTTACCTTGGCGTATGTTGCCTTGTTCTCACTGAAACAGAGATCAAAGTTTGGCAATATTATCTCCTATGATGGACTATTACACATTTCATATGTCTCAAAGCATAAAAACCAGACAGGCTAAACACAGCTGTTTAATAAGTTATCATCTGGACACTGTTTCCAATTGTTCGATGTTTATTGAGTAGACAAAAGAAAGGTAAAAAATACTTACTTGATGAGTCCATCTTCCATGTAAAGGTCAGCATAGAAAGACTGGTCATCGTTTACTATCCGACCTCCTTTGATCAAAAGACGGTCACTCTGTAATGCAATAGAAAATGTTCGGTTAACAAAAAAAAACGTAATGTTGAAATATAATGTTCATGTATTTTTACACAACTGCATTAGTATCAGTATTCAGTAGAGATATACAGTGGGGAAAAGAATTATTTGATCCCCTGCAGATTTTGTAAGTTTGACCACTTACAAAGAAATGGTCTATCATTTTTATCATAGGTGTATTTTAACTGATAGAGACAGAATATCAACCAAAAATCCAGAGAAGAAAAACACAATACAAATGTTATAAATGGAGTTGCAGTTCAGTGATTAAAATAAGTATTTGATCCCCAAGCAAAACATGACTTCGTACTTTGTGGAGAAACCCCTGTTGGCAAGCACAGAGATAAGACTTTGTTGCTAAATTCATATATCTATATTGTACCGCGCTCCAAACACTCTAAATAAATAATAAATAAATATTGTGTATCACCGATAAATCAATAATAATCTATAACCATAATGCTTGAATCCATAATTGCATAATACTTAAATCCATGATTGAAGTGAGTCAAAAAATACTATTAATATTTATAAATCAGTGCATAAAAACCTGCGTGCATAAAAAACTAATGCAGACTGAAAAAAGAAGAATGAAAAAATAAAATAAAAATATAAAAAATGAAAAAATATAAAAAATATAAAAAATAAAATGCAATAAACTGGAAGAAAATATATATAGGTGAATAATAATTCAGTTCATACGAATTGAGATGGTGATGTGGTTCAATCTAATCTGCGTAGTAAGTCAATGTTCATAACATGAACCTCTCTCTCCTTCCTCCTCTCCTTTCTCCTCAGTACAGCTTTTCTCAATAAGGACTTTCTCCTCTAGCTGCTTGGCTTATTCCTCCATAACCGATACATACAGAGAGAAGGGAAAAAGAGACAGTGTCTTATCCTGGGTAACAAAATGTTTAATGAGCTTCTGATCTCCCACTCACATGGTATCAGCAAAAGTAGCGCTTTGTGTAAATAAATCAAATCCTCCTGCAAACAAATCCTCCTGCAAATAGCCCTGCAGGTGTGTGTGTGTTCACTCGCTATACTCGCCGTTCCTCTGTGGATGCGTGATGACGTCACCGCCCCTCCCCTACGCGTTACGCTACAGGGACTCGTAGCTCCTCTGGGGGATGTAGAAACTACATCCCCCAGAGGAAGCTACGAGTCCCTGTAGCGTAACGCGTAGGGGAGGGGCGGTGACGTCATCACGCATCCACAGAGGAACGGCGAGTATAGCGATGAACACACACACACCTGCAGGGCTATTTGCAGGAAGATTTGTTTGCAGGAGGATTTGATTTATTTACACAAAGCGCTACTTTTGCTGATACCATGTGAGTGGGAGATCAGAAGCTCATTAAACATTTTGTTACCCAGGATAAGACACTATGTCTCTTTTTCCCTTCTCTCTGTATGTATCGGTTATGGAGGAATAAGCCAAGCAGCTAGAGGAGAAAGTCCTTATTGAGAAAAGCTGTACTGAGGAGAAAGGAGAGGAGGAAGGAGAGAGAGGTTCATGTTATGAACATTGACTTACTACGCAGATTAGATTGAACCACATCACCATCTCAATTCGTATGAACTGAATTATTATTCACCTATATATATTTTCTTCCAGTTTATTGCATTTTATTTTTTATATTTTTTATATTTTTCATTTTTTATATTTTTATTTTATTTTTTCATTCTTCTTTTTTCAGTCTGCATTAGTTTTTTATGCACGCAGGTTTTTATGCACTGATTTATAAATATTAATAGTATTTTTTGACTCACTTCAATCATGGATTTAAGTATTATGCAATTATGGATTCAAGCATTATGGTTATAGATTATTATTGATTTATCGGTGATACACAATATTTATTTATTATTTATTTAGAGTGTTTGGAGCGCGGTACAATATAGATATATGAATTTAGCATCCATACACCTGGAGAGGGTGTAAAAAGTACCTGGCGATCTAAATATCTAATTAAGCACGATAATTGATTTATTAGTGGTTCACTTTATTCATTAGTTAATATTATTCATTTTTAAAACACGGAATTAATTGCTTCACCAGTAAGAAAACTTCTAGTGGCTCACAAGTATTCAATTAATTTGCATGATAAGACTTTGTTGGTTACCAGGTTTGCACACATCTTAGGAGGGATTTTGGTCCGCTCTTTTTTACAGATCTCTAAATCGTTAAAGTTTTCTGGCTGTCGTTTGGCAACTCAACGTTTTAGCTCCCTCCATACATTTTCTATGGGATTTAGGTCTGGAGACTGGCTAGGCCACTCCGGGACCTTAATGTGCTTCTTCTTATGCCACTCTTTTGTTGCCTTGGTGGTATGTTTTGGGTCATTGTTGTGCTGGAAGACCCATCCACAACCCATCTTCAGTGTTTTGACTGAGGGAAGAAGATTTTTATCCAAGATTTTACAATACATGGCCCCGTCCATTGGCCCCTCAATGCGGCAAAGTCGGCCTGTACCTTTAGCAGATAAAACAGCCCCAAAGCATGATGTTTCCACTGAACTTCAACTCAGTTTATAACATTTGTATCATGCTTTTTCTGGATTTTTTACACCTATGATAAAAATTATAGACCCTTCATTAATTTGTAAGTGGGTAAATTTACATAAAACGGCAGGGGATCAAATAGTCATCCCCACTGTATTCTTCTTTGGTGCCAACTCTATCCACTTAATAGGAACAAGGGTTGCAGAGATCCCAAGTGTGGGGGCCACCTAAATGTCCAATACACCTCCCTGTGTAAGATCTCGTCACTCTCAGACAGTGAAGTTACACATTTGTCACTCAGACAGACAGATGCAACACAAAAAGGTTTCACTTCACTATGCACACAGCACATGTTACTTATTGAAATAATACTATCTACATAGACATGTACATTTGCCTTTTAAACATTTAACCCAAGCACCCAAAGTACAGTATATACACTCACTTTATTAGGTACACCTTGCTAGTGCCAAGAACATATCCCCCACACCATTACACCACCACCCTAAACTGTTGATACAAGGCAGGATGGATCCATACTTTCATGTTGTTAACAGTAAATTCTGACCCTACCATCTAAATGTCGCAGCAACCAGTCTGCCCATTCTCCTCTGACCTCTGATATCAACAAGACATTTTCCTCCACTCAACTGCCGCTAACTGGATATTTTCTCTTTTTCGGACTATTCTCTGTAAAACCTACAGATGCTTGTGTGTAAAATCCCAGTAGATCAGCAGTTTCTGAAATACTCAGACCAGCTTGTCTGGGACCAACAACCATGCTATGTTCAATGTCATTCAAACCCTTTCTTCCCCATTTTAAAGCTCGTTTTGAACTTCAACAAGTTGTCTTCACCACATCTACATGCCTAAATGCACTGGGTTGCTGCCATGTGATTGGCTGATTAGCAATTTGTATTACCAAGCAATTGAAAAGGTGAACCTAATAAAGTGGCCAGTGAGAACAGTATATACAAATGAGGCCACATTATAGTTATCTATTCACATCAAACATGACATTTTATTGCTACTATCTCTTCAGATAAACCTGTCATGGGAGTAATATGGAGGGTGCCGTACTTCTATCCGGACCCTCTGGTGTTAATACTTTTAGTCAATGCAGCAAGGGAAATCAGAGTGAAGTCAGGACTCTGGCAACACATTTTTGGGCTCTGTCCCCATTCTTAAACCTGGCAAGCCCCAACACTTCCATAGCCTTACTGAGCAGGAGATTGGAGCCCCTGTGAATGCTGACTGTTTACAGCTTTTTAAACGGATCTGCTAGCTGCTGGTTTCACCTTTATTCACCACTGCTGCTGATCTTTACACCACTGGCTGCTATCCCAATTGTCCTGGTACAAGAGCTTCATTGTTAACTTTGACATAGATGACTCTATGCTATTGTGTCAATTACAACTACTTTTACTACACTAATCTATTGCCCTTCTTTCTTTCTTGTGAAGCCTACTAGCAGCTTGTTTAAAGTGACAGCAAACAGTCTCATTCGGATCTACATTAAACATTTATAAGATAAAGCTAGTGGTACATACAATGATCATCAATACAATGAACAATGCAGCGCTCACACAATATAGAATAGGATGGCGACGAATGGCTAAAATTAGAAGGAAAAGTTAGAACTGACTGTACAATGAATGTGGTGACGGTGGTCAAAGAGTCAATGCATCCATAGGATGCGCACAATGAGGAAGAGACGGACTAAGCAGTCAAGGCACATGGGATGGAACCGGCAGCTCCTCGTCAGGGATGATCCGATTTTTCCTTGTTCCTGCATCCTTGGCTTTACTCCCCTCTTCTTCTCCCGCATCACGTTCTTCTTTTCCTTTTCTTTCCCCTACTTTCATTTTTCTGCTCTGTAAAACTTTTTTTTTTTTTTTTAAGGACTGATAAACTATGGCCAACTTTCAGCTTTCCTGTCCCTCACATGTCACATGATCACCCTTTCGTTTATTGCACACAGTAACTGCAGCCTTCCTTGCGCTCCCTCACTCCTCCCCTTTCCTCTCTTCATTGGCTGCCTGGGATTTGACAGCTCTTATATACCCCTCTGTTGCATGGGTGAGCCTGCTTGAGAAAGGAGGCGGAGCTTCTGAAACGCATCGCAGCCTGCTAACCCGCCATTCACAGCATCTGTCACAGAACCTCTCAATCCCTCCACCACCTGGCGGGACTTTTAAATGAACGCCGCCGAGTCCACGAATGGCTCCCTCCATGGTCATGCTGCCTACATCGATTCATCCATGAACTGCGGTCCTGCTCCTCTGTCTGCCTTCTCATTCTGCATGTCGAGTGAAGGAATTTTAGATGTAAGTCTTCTGTAATAAAGTTTACACGTTTTTTACTCACTCTGACCTGGTGCTCTCTTTTCTCTTCTGCTAAGATAAAGCTAGAGGGTGTTTAAAAATACTAGACAAAGCTAGAGGGTCTTTGTAAAAGCTTGTTGTACATACAAGTTGAAGGCTGTAAATACAAGGCC